CTCTCGCGATCCATAGGGACCGTGCGTTTCGCATTAAGCTCAGCTCGTGTGTAGCACCATACTCGAAGATAAGATTGATTTAGATAGATGAAGGGGAGATTCGAGAATCGCTGTGTCGTTTAAGCAGGCGTGACAGACAGGGCTTTTCATATAACGAGAGAAAAAGAGAAGCTGTTCGTAATGTTATATCGTAACGAATTTTATTTTCACTAACGGACATAAAAACCGTGTCCGGATGTTATTTTATTTTTCGACAATGGCTTTTAGAATCCTAATTTATCGGAGCTACTCTAGTATTCCAGTAGTTTATAGAATGTTACGATCGTGCACGTGTTCGAAAATGAATAGTAAAAGCCGAAAGGCAAAATCGCAAATTATTATAGGAAAGTGAAATGAGGAAGATGCTTTCATCTAACTATCACTTAATTACCGCACGTTGCGATACTTAAATTCAAGATATACGATTGCGTGGAATAATAAATCATTTATAGCGGAATCTTGTGTACTATTACTAATTAAAGACATTACATTATGCCTGACAAATACGTAGTGGGTTTAATTAACGAGCGTGTCATAAAATTCATGAAATCGCGTTCATTAAGCGAGACACAGAAATCGTTCGCGGCGTAGCATAAATATTCATTACGATTACTTTGTACGTGAATGTGCGTGTGCCGCAAATCTAGTAATACGTGATTACACAATTTTGAAATTCGCCGAACTACGCTGATATATCTGGCGGCATGGCATGCGCACGCGCGCGCGCGTGCGCGCGCAAACGCGTCTCTCGTGAATTTATGGCCGTCATTGATTTAATTACAGTCTGGTTAACCTCATTTAACTAATCATGAGGTTTATGTCGTACCGAACTGCACAGAATGCGAGATTCAAATCGGTGCGCCTTGCGCATATACTTAACTTACTATAAATCGCCACGGTAATTAACAATTATCAGCAATTCCGTCAATATTTATAAGGCGCCATTCTTTTTCGGTGCGTCGAAACTACCAATTAGATTTTTAATCTATAGTATTACATGATTACATTATTATAAGACAACATGCGTTTTCCAGGATATAAATACTCTTCTTTTATTTACGAATTAAGTTAAAATTATAATTGGTTTTTAATAAAAATTGTCTTCGCCTTAAGTGTAATACTTTGTGTTTCTTATCTTTCTACATTAAATATTGGAATAATAAATCCAAAAAATTAGAATCTCATTAAAATCGCTTCAAAGAATTAATTAAAAGTTATTTGTTTTTGATTTTAAAATTAACACCCAATTCGTTGATTAAAATTTTAGATATATTAGAAAAATTAGTAATTAAATTAGTAGTAAAAAATTAAATTAAAATGTTTAATGTGATACGATTGGTAACTTCTAATTCAGTATAACAAAATTAATAACTTTTTATTTCCGGTTTTGAATAAAAATTAATTCATAACAATTTAACTTGGAAAGTGTGACAAACAAGTACGCTAGTTAATTTTCTGCAACGAGATTTTCATAGATACTATTGCAAATGTTTTTGGCAAAAACGTTTTGATTGCAGGCAATTACATCTAATTGGCATCAACAACGCGCGTATACGATGTTGAAATGGGAGAAGACAGGAAATTATTGTGTCGATAGAATAGCTGCGACAAAATACCCCATCGCTACTATTTTCGTTATTTTGTGATTCACCTAGCTAGCGACGATTCGGTCTACGTCCGTAATTGCGGCCGGTGTCGCGATACACCGAATCGCCATCCGTGTATCTCGCTTGCCGTCCGTTTCATCCAGTTAAAAGGTTTCGGCATTTGGTTATTCGACACGTTTGTATCTCACCGTTCCACTTTCAGTTCGTTCCCCCCAAAATTTGTTTACAAATGCGCCTGAATTCGTCCGGTTCGTTATCCGTAACGCGAATAATTCGCTGGAATGGATTCAAGAAAGAATAACAACGTGATAAACGCACACCGCACGTGATCGATATAACGCAGCTAAATTGCAACGTGTTACAAAAAAAAAAAACCACTCTGTGAAAATATTGTCAGGACACACGTAATTGCGAATTGTAAAAATTTGTCTCCAAATAACTTCTCACTCTCCCTCTTTCTCTCTCTTTGTATAATGATAATTTTCTCTCCGTACATGTTATCACGCAAAAAATCTCGAGCATATAAATAAGAGAATAATCTATATATTTATATCGCTATTTAAATTTTTCATGTTTTTTAAGATGCCATTTATATTTTGCGTCTTCACAATATTATTAATAATGTTTATAATGTCATTTTATTTATTAGCTTCTAGAATATAAAACATTCAATTTACAAATTTTTTTGCAAAATTTATTGCATCATTTAATTTTTTGCAACGGTTAATTCTTTAGTAATTCTTTGGTAAATAATCAGCAATATTCGACATTGTTCGTTAGATGATCGTTATTCGGTTCCCTATTGTACGCTACCAGAGAGATAATAAAAAAATCGTATATAACAGGGACATTTTCTTCACTGCTCCCCAAATTACGAAGGATGCGCCTTCCGGCGGCGGTACTTATCGAGGATCTACGATTCGAAGGGACTATTTACGGTTCGTAGGGTGGATCATCGACCTTTCCTCCCTCCGTCGCGCTTTTCCGCTGGCCTTGTCGATGCCCTTTCTTTGCCGTAGGAACAACGGCTTTGGCGAACGATAAATCACGACACGCTCGTGGGAAGTTTTCAGACCATTTCCGGATGGCTCGGATTTTTATGCTAACGTCGCGAACCGATATCGCGTCCTGTATTATACGTCGTCGGTACCATTTGCCGCGATTCGTTCGTTTTGTTGGAACAATATCGAAGGGTCGAATTGGTACCCATAGTACAACGGATGTACATTATGGTATCCGGTAAAGGAAAAAGGGAGCATTCGATAAATCTTGAATTATCACTACACGATGCAACTTCTACACGTCTCAGCTTGTTTAAATCAATAATAATTATGATGATTTCGATTTATTATTTTGCCCAATAATGTGTTAATATTGATGGGAAAGAGATTATTGACTAAAATATATCCAAGTTTTGCGTCATGTAAATTTATATGACATATTATAAATTTACTCTACGATGATAGAGTGTAGCTTATATATTTCATATTTGCTGTTTATTGTCCCAATTTATTATATGGATGTGCTCCTACAAAATTATACTAATACAAGAGAAATTATCTTTGAAAAACTTTCACCCCGTAGGGGTGCAAGATGTCTTTGTAGACGGATGGGATTCTGCCAAACCGACCCTGTAGTCACATAACGAGTAGCTTCGCAACGGAAGGGTGCGATTCAGTCGACAAAAGGGCATGGAATATCTGCGATCAAATCCCGGCTGCTCCAGCTTGACGGACTTTATTTGTGACGTTTTTTCGAGGGGTGACCAGAGTCTCCCGCGAAGATCCCCTGCGCAGCCCTCCCCCTCACGGCCGTACGAGACCGCCCTCAGGTTCATCCCCTAACTGAGCTAATAAGCAACCCCAAAGAGACGTCGAGCGGCAACTGTGACATATCTACATACATACGCACGTATCCACTCGGGGGTTGCCGGAGGCCAATTTGCATTAATATTTGGG